TGGGACTACAGGTACGCGCCACCATGCCCAGCTAATTTTTTGTATTTTTAGTAGAGACGGGGTTTCACCATGTTGACCAGGATGGTCTCGATCTCTTGACCTCATGATCCACCTGCCTCGGCCTCCCAAAGTGCTGGGATTACAGGCGTGAGCCACCGCGCCCAGCCTCACACCTTTAATGTTAGAAATTTGGGAGGCCAAGGTGGGTGGATCACCTGAGGTCAGGAGTTTGAGACCAGCCTGGCCCACGTAGTAAAACGCTGTCTCCACTAAAAATACAAAAATTAGCCAGGCATGGTGGTAGGTGCCTGTAATCCCAGCTACTTGGGAGGTTGAGGCAGGAGAACCGCTTGATCCCAGGAGGCAGAGGTTACAATGAACCGAGATTGCGCCACTGTATGCAGTGGCGTAGAATCACGTAGAATAATATAATAAAACTCAATAAGCTTATCACACAGGTTTCTTGATTGCTAATGCTTTGTTGTGTCAGTCTTTTTTTTACGCCCCCTCAACCTGTTTTTTTTTTTGGGGGGGTCTGGCTCTGTTGCCCAGGCTTGAGTGCAGTGACACGATCACGGCTCCCTGCAGCCTCCACCTTCTGGCCTCGAGCAGTCCTCCCACCTCAGCCTCTTGAGTAGCTGGGACTAGTTGTGTGACATTATGACTGGGTAATATTTTTTATTTTTCCTTTTTGTAGAGATAGTCACCCAATGTTGTCCAGGGTGGTCTTGAACTCCAAGTTCATGAAGCTCTCCCACATGGGCCTCCTGAAATGCTAGGATTATAGGCATGAGCTACTGGTCCTGGCCCATATTAGCGTTTTTTAATGTAAAATTTTAAAAAGTTGGTGGGGCATCATGGCTTGTGCCTATAATCCCAGCACTTAATGAGGCCAAGGTGGGAGGATTGCTTGAGCCCAGGAGCTCAAGATCAGCTTGGGCAACATAGGGTGACTCTGTCTCTACAGAAATAAAAAATAAAAAATATTTAGCCACTCATAATGGCTCACACCTGAAGTCCCAGCTACTCAGGAGGCTGAGGTGGGAGGATCACTCTAGGCCAGAGCTGGAGGCTGCAGGGAGCCGTGATCGTGCCATTGCACTCCATCCTGGGTGACACAGCGAGACCCTGTCACCAAATAAATAAAGGAATGAGGCCCTGTAATCCCAGCATTTTGGGAACCCGAGGGTGACAGATTGCCTGAGCTCAGGAGTTTGAGACCAGTCTGGGCACCATGGTGAAACCCTGTCTCTACTAAAATACAAAAAATTAGCCAGGTATGGTGGTGTGTGTCTGTAGTCCCAGACTTGGGAGGCTGAGGCAGGAGAATTGCTCGAACCTGGGAGGCAGAGGTTGCAGTGAGCCAAGAACACACTACTGCACTCCAACCTGGGTGACATAACGAGACTTCATCTCAAAAAAGCAAAAAAAAAAATGAAAAAGTAAATGAATGATAAAAAATAAAGAGTGAATTAGAGCCATCTTGATATTTTCCTCCAAAATCATATTTTTTCCCTAAAACTTGTCTCTGCACCCCCCAAAAGAAAGCCATTTTTTCTTTGTGACCCAACAGAATGAGCTGTAATGACCTTGTAATATGTGCAAATGTGTATCCACATACAGACATCCCCAGCTGTGTGGCTGCCTTCGTTTGCAGCAGGCAGTTGTGCTGGGGAGGGGTGCAGCATTGGCATGTGTGTGTGAGCCCCGTCTTCCCCCTCCTCTAATTGACTCTCATTGCCTAACCCCCTTGTGTCTTAGCCTCAGGTTGATCATCCTGGGCAGCCACCAGCCCCTGGAGAGCAGTGGCCTCTGGTCCTTAAATGAGGAGGACACATCAGAATAAGTCATGCCTGCTTCGGTAAAGAACTGGAAGAAGAAATGCACCAAGTCTAGGAAGTAAGTGTGAGTTTCCTTGTCCTCTAGGATGCCCTGGTTCCCTTCTTCCTGCCCTGTGGCCTGAATCCAGGCTGCGGCCCTGGCAGTGCTGCTTGTTACTAGCTTTGTGGTTCTCGCTTCTCCTCCGGGCGTCAGTTTGTTTTTCTGCTAAATGGGGTAAAATCTCACAAGTCATTAAGGCAACTGAGTAGAAAAGAAGAGAGAAGCTGGGCATGGTGCCTCACGTCTGTAATCTCAGCATTTTGGGATGCCAAGGCAGGTGGATCACAAGGTCAGGAGTTTGAGACTAGCCTGGCCAACATGGTGAAACCCCATCTCTACTGAAAATACAAAAGTTAACTGGGTGTGGTGGCGAGCGCCTGTAATCGCAGCTACTTAGGAGGCTGAGGCAGAAGAATCGCTTGACCCTAGGAGGCGGAAGTTGAAGTGAGCCAAAGTTGCACCACTGCACTTCAGCCTGGGAGATAGAGTGAGACTCCATCTTAAGAAAAGAGGAGAGAAAAACGCTGCCCAAGCAGGCAGTTGATGCTGTTTGCCATGGCACGTGACTGTCCCTCCTTGAGTCAGTCTCACTTTTTCTCTTTCTGAGCATCTGGCATCCTGCATGTTCTTGCTGTTTTGAAGTATTTCTGTCCAACACACCCAGCTGACCATGTACTTTTATTTAGCCAAAGAAGCCCCATTTGCGTGTAATTTGGGCTGTATTGGATTTTAGACTCTACCTCCTATGTAAGGTGTGCCCCACTGTGCCACCTCTGTCATTCTTTTGGGAATCAGGTCAGGGCCTCCACTGCATCTACCCTAACTCTTCAAGCCTGAGACATCATCAGCACGATACGTTATGATTGTGTGTAACAGTAAGAAAGAAAAACAGCTGGCTGGGTGTGGTGCCTCACGCCTGTAATGCTAGTACTTTGGGAGTCTGAGGCGGGTGGATCACAAGGTCAGAGATCGAGACCATCATGGTGAAACCCCATCTCTACTAAAAATACAAAAAAAATTAGCTGGGCATGGTGGTGCATGCCTGTAGTTCCAGCTACTTGGGAGGCTGAGGCAGGAGAATTGCTTGAACCCGGGAGGCAGAGGTTGCAGTGAGCTGAGGCCGTGCCACTGTACTCCAGCCTGGCACATGGTGACAGAGTGAGACTCTGTCTCAAAAAAAAAGAAAGAAAAACAACTGCCAGTTAAATAAGGATGTAAGACGCATCCTGAGCCCAGACGAGCTGGAACGTCAAATTCCAAGTGATGTGGGGGCAGTAGATTGTGGCCATGGGGACAGTAGGGTGGCTGTTTTTGTTTCTGTTGCCTGTTCTGGGATAAGCTTACTATGGTAAGCTGTGACAGAGCCAGCCTGGTGCATTGGATTCTCCACAGATCCGTTGACCTTAACAGAGACTTTTTTTTTTTTTTTTTTTTGAGATGAAGTGCGATCCACCATACACAGCTGAGCTCTGGTTTATATCAACCTAGACTGCCCTGGGAAAGGTAAATATTAGGCATGAGAGTGAAGGCAGGGAGACCTGGGTGGGAACCTCAAGGCCTGTCCATGAAGTTCCTTCAGTTCCTTCATGCCTCACTGGGAGCCTCCATTATTTTGACACAGGCTTTTGTCCTGGCTATAGTGCAGTGGTGCCATCTCAGCTCACTGCCACCTCCATTGCCTAGACTGGAGTGATCCTCCCACTTCAGCCTCACGAGTAGCTGGGTCTATGGCAGAGGCTGCAGTGAACGGAGATCATGCCACTGCACTCCAGCCTGGGAGACAGAGTGAGAATTCGTCTATTGACCAGCATGGAGAAACCCCATATCTACTAAAAATATAAAAAATAATTTTTGAAGAGAAAGTTTGTCAGTGCACCCTGGTAAAGTCAAGGGACTAAGGTATAAGAAGAATGTGATGTACAAGGCAGAATGCAGGGGCCATTGGAGCTAGAAGTGATCTTAGGGAACATGGAGTCACAGAAGAGCAATGAGATGCAATTTCTTGCTCAACTCCAGTCCACTGGCAGCAGTCACCTGGGGGGCTGCTTGAATGTAACTCAGTGGGAAAGAATGCCATGAGTGACTGTGGGTGTCTGCTGTGTGCATGAGAAGGAAGGGAAGGGCCCAGTATTTGACATGCTTGAGATCTAACCCCTTCATTCTCCATATGACAAAATCTAGAGCCAGGGAGGTCAGCTAACTGGCTTTGGGGTCACGCTGTGAGCTGGCAGTAGAATGTGGCAGGTGACCTGCCTCTCAGAAGAACATTCCTCTAAGCCAGGGGCTGGCCAAAACCGGACTGAGGTCCACATACGGCTCATGAGCTCAGCATGGATTTCATTTTTTAATTTTTTTGAGACAGAGTCTTGCTCTGTTGCTCAGGCTGGAGTGCAGTGGTATGACCTTGGCTCAACGTGACCTTCACCTCCCAGGTTAAAACAATTCCGGTGCCTCAGCCTCCCAAGAAGCTGGGATGACCATCATGGTCCACCTTGCCTGGATAATTTTTTTATGGTTCACAGCGTCTCCCTCTTTTGCCCAGTCAGGAGTGCAGTGGCATGATCTTAGCTCACTACAACTTCCCCCTTTTGGGTTCAAGTGATCCTCCTGCCTCAGCCTCCTGAGTAGCTGTGATCACAGGTATGCACCACTACACCTAGCAAATTTTGTTTTTAATACAGACCAAGTTTTACCATGTTGGCCAGGCTGGTATCAAACTCCTAGACTGAAGCAACTCGCCTACCTTAGCCTCTCAAAGTGCTGAGATTATAGGCATGAGTCACAGCACCCAGTCAGATTTTGTATTTTTAACCGTGAAAAAAAAAAAATCAAAACAATATTACATGACAGATGAAAATGCGGTAAAATTTAAATTTTAGTGTTTCTAAATCCATGTTTACAGGAACACAGTCAACACCCATCAATTTCCATATTATCTAAGGCTGCTTTTCCACTATGCGGGAAGAGACAAGTATTTGTGACAAATACCATATGGCCCAGAATGCTGAAAGTTTCCAGAAACAGTTTCTTTACTCCTCCTTTCTTCCAGTGTCTCTTGAACTTTAATGGGCATACACACCACCTAGAGAACTAGTTACAATTCAGATTCTGTTTCAGTGGATCTGGGCAGAGGCCTAAAATTCTCCAGTTAATAAGCACCAGGTGATGCCATGGCTGCTGGTCCAAGGACCACACTTTGAGTAGTGAGGATCAACTCCAGTGTGTCTCTACATGTTGACCTGAACCAGCAGCAGCAGTACCTGGGGACATGTTAGGAATACAGTTACTCAGGTCCCACCCAGATCTAGTAAACTGAAAATCTGAGTGGGACCCAGAAAGCTACATTTTGTAGTAACAAGCTGTTAGCTAACAGTGGCTCACACCTGTAATCCCAGCACTTTGGGAGGCTGAGGCAAGTAGATCACCTGAGGTCAGGAGTTTGAGACCAGCCTGGCCAATATGGTAAAACATCATCTCTACTAAAAATATTTTTTACATTAGCCAGGTATGTTGCACGCCTGTAATCCCAGCTACTCAAAGGCTAAGGTGAAAGAATCACTTGAACCCAGGAGGCGGAGGATGCAGTGAGCCAGTATCACACCAGGGCACTCCAGCATGGAAGACAGAGAGTCCATCTCAATCTTTCCATAGTCCATCTCTATATGGTCTCCTGATGTGGGGCCAGCTTTGCAAAATGGTAAGTTTCACTTTTTTTTTTTTTTTTT